CAGTAACTAATAAAATAGAACAATTATAACAATATACATATGTAATAAAAGAAATGTAAATATGGTTTCTCAAATATCTTACTGTACTTTTCACTTAAAGGAAACACTTTGTGACTTCCCTTTGTCATATCTGAATTGCCAGTATTGCTACTCTTGCAGCTTTGGGACATTATAAGTAAAATAAGAGTTACTTGAACACAAGGATGGTGATGCTACAACAGTTGATTGATAACTGAAAATACTAGTAGGTGACTAGTGGGTGCGGAGCATATACAGTGTGGATATGCTCGACAAAAGGATGATTCACATTCCAGGCAGGATGAAGTAAGACAATCCAAGATTTCATCACACCTCTCAGAATGGTGTGCATTTTAAATCTTATGAATTGTTTATTTTGAGAATTTTTTATTTAACATTTTTAGACCATGGTTGACTGGGAAACTGAAACCATGGAACACAAAACCACAAGCAGAAGAAAGGAAATAACAAAGATTAGAGCAGGAAAAAAAAAACAAACCACAGACCAGAAAAACAATAGAAAAGATTAATGAAACTAAGCACTGTTTTTTGGAAGGAAAAGCAAAATTGACTCATCTTTATCTAGATGAAACAAGTAAAAAAGAGAGAAGACTCAAATAAAATTAGAAATGAAAGAGGAGGCATTACAACTGATGCCACAGAAATACAAATGATCACAGTGGACTATTGTAAATAATTGTATGTCAGCAAATCGAACAACCTAGAAAAAAATGGATAAATTCCTAGAAACATGTAACCTACCAAGACTGAATCATGAAGAAATTGAAAACCTAAATATACCAATTCCTAGTAAGGAGATTGAATCAATCAACTAAAAACCTCACAACCAAAAAATGTCCAGAACCAAATGGTTTCACTGGTGATTTCTACCATAGAAGAATGAATAACAATCTTTCTGAGACTCTTTAAAACACCAGGGAGAAGGAAACACTCCCAAACTCATTTCATAAGGCCAGCATTACCCTGATAGCCAGGCCAGAAAAAGACCTAAAAGAAAAGGAAATTACAGATCAATATTCCTTATGAACTTAATGCAAAAATCCTCAATAAAATACTAGCAAACTAAATTTAACAGAATTAAAAGGATCACATATCACAATCAAGTCAGATTTAACCTGGAATTCAGGATGGTTCAACCTATGTAACTCAATAAGTGTGGTATACCACATTAACAAAATGAAGGATAAAAATTATATGATCTCCTCAATAGATACAATAAAAGCGCTTGACGAAGTTCAACTTTAATTCATGACAGTCTCAACAACTTAGGTGTAGAAGAAATGTACCACAACACAGTAAAGGCCATATATGTCAAGCCCACAGCTAATATCATATTCAACAGTGAAAAGCTGAACTCATTCTTTCTAGGATCAGGAACAAGAGACGGATGCTCACTCTTGTCACTTCTGTTCAGCCTAATAGTGGAAGTACTCGTCAGAGCAATTAGTTAAGAAAAAGAAATAAAAGCCAATTGCTTACAGATGGCAAGATATTATATACAGAAAACTTTAAAGACTCTACCCCAAAACCATAATAACTAATAAACAAATTTAGTAATGTTTCGGGGTACTAAATCAACATGCAATAATCAGTTAATTTCTATACAAAATCAATGACCTACCCCCCAAATTAAGAAAACAGTTTTATTTATAACATAAAAATACTTAGTATGAATATAATAGAAAAGAAGAAAGGTCTGTACACTAAAATCTATAAAATATGATGAAAGAACTTGAAGAAAGCACAAATAAATGGACAGTCCCATGTTCATGGATTGAGATAATTAATATGTTAAAATTTCCACACTGCCAATAATGATTTATAGATTCAATGTAATCTCTATTAAAATTCCAATTGTATTTTTTACAGAATGGAAAAATTGTTCTGATATTCATATGGAACCACAAAGACTCCAAATTGCCAAAGTAATCCTTAACAATAAGAACAAATTTGGATGTATCACTCTTCTTGATTTTAAATTACATTACAAAGCTATATAATCAACAATGATACAAAGAGCCCAAAAATAAACCCATGCTTACATAGTGAACTACCATCTGACAAAGATGTCAAAAACACAAAATGTTGAAAGGATAGTCTCTTTCAATAAATGATGTTGAGAAAACTGGGTGTCTACATGTAAAAGAACAAAACAACATATTTTTATACAATATACAAAAATAAACCCAAAATGAATTAATGATTTAAACAAACATATGGGAAAATATATTTGCAAATGATACTGTGTGGACAAGGGTTTGATCTCTAAAAACTGTATTTTTATAAAGAACTCACATGACTCCACACCAGAAAGACAACTCAATTAAATGGGCAAAGGATCTGAAGAGACACTTCTCCAAGGAGGACATATACAGGGCCCAGAGACATATGAAAGGATGCTTAGCATCACTAGCCATAGGAGAGATGCAAATTAAAACCACAATGAGATACCACTTCACACCAGTCACAATGGCCATCATGAACATATCAACAAACAACGGGTGCTGGCGAATTGTGGAGAAAAGGAAACCCTAGTATACTCTTGATGGGAATGCAAACTGGTGCAGCCACTGTGGAAAACAGTATGGAATTTCCTCAGAAAACTAAAAATGAAACTGCCTTTCGACCTGGCAATTCCTCTGCTGGGATTATACTCTAAGAATCCTGAAACATCAATTGAAAAGAACCTATGCACCCCAATGTTCATAGCAGCACAATTTCCAAGTGCTGGAAGCTACCTAAGTGTCCATCAATAAATGAGTGGATCAAAAAACTTTGGTACATTCACACAATGGAATACTATGCATCAGAAATAAAGAAGGAGCTCCTACCCTTTGTGACAGCATGGATGAAACTGGAGAACATTATTATAATTGAAATAAGCCAGAAGGTGAAAGGCAAATACCATATGATTTCACCTATAAGTGGAACATAATCAACAAAGCAAACAAGTAAGTAAAATATAACCAGAGACATGGAAATAAAGAACAAACTTACAGTAACCAGAGGAGAGGGGGTAGGGGATGACAGGGGGGAAAAGTGGAAATGTCATCAAAGTACATGTATAAAGGACCCATGGACAAAGCCAAAAGCGGGTAGGATCGAGGGTGGGTGGTGGGACAGGTGGGGTGCAGAGGAGTGGTGGAGGGAAAATTGAGAAAACTGTACTTGAGGAACAATAAAAAAAATTTTAAAAAGAGAAAGGGATAAGATTTTTGTAATATTATAATAAAATGCTGTATACTGGCAAAGAATGTAATAAAAAAAGATTTAATCACTAGATCTGAGACTGTAAAACTTCCAGAAGAAAGTATAGGGAAAACACTCTTTGACACTGGTTTTGAAAATGATATTTTGCATATAATTTCAAAAACACAGGTAATTAAAGCAAAGATAAACATGTATAAAGGACCCATGGTCAAAGCCAAAGTGCGAAAAGATTGAGGGAAGGAAGTTGGGGAGGGGGGTAGGGAAAGTGGTGGTGGAAAGGTGGAGACAAATGTATTTGAACATTAAAAAAATAAAATAAAAATAAAAAAAAGAAAAAGAAAAAAATAAAAAAGTGGAATTGCATCAAACTAAACAGCCCCTGCAAAGCAAAGAAAACAATCAATAAAATAAAAAACCAATAACAGAATGGGATAAAATATTGCCCCTGCTGGTGTAGCTCAGTTGGTTGGGTATCATCCTGCAAACTGAAAGGTCACTGGCTCAATTCCCAGTCAGGGAACATGCTTGGGTTTAGGATACTGGTATACAAGAGACAACCCACTGATGTTTCTCTCCTCTTTCTTCCTCCCTTCCCCTCTCTCTAAAATCACAAGTAAAAAATTAAAAATTTATTAAAAATTGGAAAAATATTTTATAAACCATATACAGTCATGCAGCACTTAATGATGAGGATACATTCTGAAAAATTTATCATTAGGTGGCTTAATCCCTGTGCAAATATCATAGAGTGTACTTACAGAAACCAAGATGGTACAGCCTACTACACACATAGGCTATATGGTATAGCCTATTGCTCCTGGGCTACAAATCTATACAGTGTGTTACTGTACAAAAAACATGAGGTTAAATCAAGCATGAGAGAAGATGTAACCTAGAGACGGGATAAGCACAAAATGTATGAGGCTGCTGCAGGCTTAACACTCTATACTGTTTTATAACAAACAGTATTTTTATAAATAGAAAGAGTGTACACTAATGTTAAAAATATAGAGTAGTATATGCATAAACAGTACCATAGTTGTTTTTTATCATTATCAAGTAGTATCTACTGTACATAATTGTATGTGTTATATTTTGTATGACTGGCAGCACAGTAGGTTTGTTTACACCAGCATCACCACAAACACACACATACAGCATTGCACTACAATGTAATGACAGCTGCAGCATCACTAGACAATAGGAATTTTTCAGTTTTATTGTAATATTATGGGACCACTATTGCATATGCAGCCTGTTATTGACTCAAATGTTGCTATGTGCATGACTGTATTTTATAAGAGGTTAATATCCAAAATATTTAGTGAACTCCTGTGACTTAATATCAAAGTAACAAATAACCCAACTAAAAAATGGACAAACAACTTGAATAAATATCACTCCAAAGAAGATGTAAAAATGGTCAACAGGTATATGAAAAGGTGATACGCACCACTAATCGCCAGGTAAATCCTAATCAAAACCACAATGAGGTATTACCTACGCGTTTTAGGATGACTATTATCAAGAAAACAAAAGAAAAATGTTGGCAAGGACATGGAGTAAAGGGAACCCTAGGGTACCATTGGTAGAATGTAAATTGGTGCAGCCACTGTGGAAACAGTAGGAAGATTTTTCTAAAAATTAAAAAAAGATCTACCATAATCATCAATCCCACTTCTGCATATTTATCCAAAAGAACTGAAATTAGGATCTCAAAGAGATATCTGCACTCCCACGTTCACTGCAGCATGAATCACAATGGCCAAGATACAGAACAACCTGAATGTCCACCGATAGATAAATGGGTAAATAAAATGTGGTATATACACACATTGGAATGTTATCCAGCCTTTAAAAAGAAGGAAATTTTGTAATTTTTAACAACATGGATGGACCTGAAGGACATTAGAGTGAATGAACTAAACCATTCACAGAAAGACAAATATTGTATGATCTAACTTATATGTGGATCTAAAATAGTCAAAGTTATAGAGGCAGAGAATAGAATGGTGATAGCCAGGAGATGGGGAGGGGAAAATGGGGCAGTGAAGGTCAAAGGGCACAAAGTTTCACTTATGTAAGATAAGAATGTTGTGGAGATTTACCATATAGGCTAGTGTCCATAGCTAACAATTAATAACCTACTGTATACTCAAAATTTGTTCAGAGAGTAGATCTTATGAAGTTTTTACTACATACACACATACATAATAAATAACAACAACAACAACAATAATAATAAAGAGGATGGGAAGAAACTTTGGATTGTGATGGATATGTTTTTGCCCTTGATGGTGGTGATGGTTTTATGGGTGAATATTTATGTCTAAATTCATAAAATTGTATACATTGAATATAGACCATTTTTCACATGTCAGTCATACCTCAATAAACTGGTTTAATTTTTTTTAAATTACTGATCTCTTAGTCTGAATAAAGTCAGGGACGCTGTATTAGTTTGCTAGTACTGCTGAAACAAGTACCACAAATGAAGTGGCTTAGGGGACAGAAATTTATTGTCTCAGTTATGGAGGTTAGAGATTTGAGAGCAAGGTGTTGGCAGGGCCATGCTCCCTCTGAGACTAGGAAAGCATCTGTCTCAGACTTTCTCCTAGCTTCTGTCATTCCTTGGCTTGTGGTACCATAACTCTCATTTAACATGGTGTTCTCCCTATGAGCATGTCTGTGTGCTAAAATTTCCCCTTTTTGTAAAGATACCAGTTACACTGAATTAGGGATCATTTTACTCCTGTGTGACCTTTAACTAATTACACCTACAAGGAAAGTATTTTTAAATAAGGTCACATGTTGAGAAGCAGGGCTAAGGACTTCAACATATGAAATTTTGGGAAACATAATTCAACACATAACAGGCACCAAGCTCTACTAATAATCATTCTACTCTTCATTTGTACACATATACATGGGTACACACACTTCCAGTTTCACTTAGAAATATCCTCGATGAATCAGTAAATACGATCAATTTTATTAAATTTCAGTGCTTGAATACATTATCTTTTACTATTCCATGTATGAAACTGGAAATACATAAATAATATTGTTGCATATCAAAGTATAATTGTTGTCTTGAGGGAATGAACTTGTATGATTGTTTAAGCTTCAAGATAAACTAACTTCAATAATTTTATTTCAGGTGCAGAATGGCTAAAATATTTATTATAGAAAGAAAGTCAGATTATTTTATCTGGCTTTAAATAAGTCCCTGTAAAAGGAACTGACACATAAAAATATTTATAGTTTTCGTTTTCTTGTGTCCAGTTACACTTCTCAGAGGGCTCATAAATGTTTATTGAATGGTTAAATTCAGAGGAAGAACTTCTTAGATCCCTAAATCATAAGAAACGTTTTAAAAACATTGCTTTTTAAAAAATACTATAAAATATTTTTCAGAAATCAAATTTGGAGTAGATTATGACACTGGGATTGTCAGGGACTCTGTAAAATCCAAAGAAAGGAATATGTGGGGGTCTTGGGAACTATGAAATTAAAAATTTGAGCTAGGTGAAGACTGTTATTTCTCTTTCTCTCTCTCTCCCCTCTCTTTTTGTTTCCTTGTTCCCAAGGTAGATATATTAGTCAGGGTTTCTCAGAGAAATAAAACAACAGGTGTGTGTGTGTGTGTGTGCGTGTGTGTGTACAGAGAGAAAGGTTTATTTTAAGAAATTAGCTCATATTATTATAAAAGCTTGGCAAGTCCAAAATCTGAAGGTTGGGCCAGCAGCCTGAAGACCCAGGAAAACCTTCAGTTCAAGTGTGAAGGCAGTTTGCTGGCAGAATTCCCTTAACCAAGAGGTCAGTCTTTTCTTTTTTTAATTTTTCACAGACTTTGACTGATTAGATGAGGCTCACCTGCATTATAAAGGCCAATTTGCTTTACACAGTGTCTACTGATTTAAATTTCAATATAATCAAAATATCTTCACAGAAACAACTAGAATGATGCTTGACTCAGTATCTGGGAACCATGGCATAGCCAAGTTGACATAATTTATCAATATAGTAGAAAAATAGGAAAGGAAGAAGAAAGAACTACTCTTCTGAGTTCTGGCTCCAAAATTCTCCAGAAATTAATCTGGTTTGTCTGGTTGCATCAGATGCCTACCACTGGACGAAACATTTTAATCAGGGGTGGCATCGGAGAAAGGACAGTAATCAGCCCAGCTCACGTGATGTGCTCATGATGTGCCAATCCACTGTGGCTAGGGAAGGGATGGAGGCAGGGTTACCTCATGCAAAATAGTAGTCAAGTACTAAACAAAATGTCTCACAAATGAGAAATCATTGAAAATGGCTAATGGGTATAACCTTCAAATATTAACATATTATCCCATTAAATGATAAAATAAGTTTAATTTGTTTGGCAAGTCATTTAATGTAATTTAGTTATGGTTAACTAAATTTCTATCAAGTTGTATATAAGTTTTGTGGAGAAATAGTGGCTTCCCCTTCTCTGAATTACCTGAAGTTGACTCCATTTACTTTTCTCTAAACATTTTTCTCCTTCCTCTGGTGACAGAAAGCAGAACCATTCAAAACTTCCTGCAGATGGTAATATACTATTTTTGTTTTTTTTTTTTCCTTTAGAGGGAAAACTGAAGAAAGAGAGTGTTGAATTTTCTTAGAAACATAGTCGGTGGTAGGTCTGAGGGCCAGCCTGGTGCCCAGTATAGGAATGTGGTGATCTGAATGCTGTGGTGGGAGGGACCCTGAATGACCCTGCCCCTCCTCCCGCAAAGCAGTCGAATTCTGTTTGGAAATTATGGAGCTTTCTCCCCCAGGCACTGTGCTAGGCTTTACAGGGAACACAAAGATGAGCAAGACGAACAAGACTGTGAGAGAGCCCTCAGGGAGCTCAGTTTTCTGGGGGCACACAGACATGAGCAGTGTGATCATGTCAAGTGTACCAGGAGTCTGGAGGAGGGAGCTGTTAGCACCAAGGCTCAGAGAAGGCTTCACAGAGGGTGCATCACATGAAGTGGGTCTTAAAGGAAGACGAGTATTATAGTAGACGAAGAACTTTTGCAGGGCCCGCCAGACCACAGGAACAACGTGAGGGAAGACATATAAATGCACTTGTGCTTGGTCTTTTCTTTCTGAAGGGTGGGAGCAATGTAGGGAGTGATAAGATTGGAAAGGTGAGTCAATTTGAGAAAGGGCTTTCAAAGTCAATATAAAGGTACTTAAATGTTTTCTTCAGGAAGTGAGAGATCCCTGAAGGGTGTCTGAGCTGAGTGAATCACATCTGTTTTATAGAATGATGGGCCTGGTTCTAGTGTCAGGTATGAACTGAAGACAGGAGAGTTTTGAGACAGAGACAGAAGTTCGGAGCCTTTTGCAGGATCTAGGTGCATGACGATGGGGATTTGAACTAGAGGATGGTAGTGAGAAAAGAATGGCAATGCCCAAAGGTCAATTGGATGTAGTCTGTGTGCATAAGGCTGGGTGAGAGGAGGAGATATTTATAGACAAAGGATCCAGGTAAGACAGGCTCTGAGTGCTGGTTCTGGAGAAAATACGAGAATCTACCCTCTCTCTCCTCAGTGAAGTAGGAGGTGAAATCATTCTAGCTGATTGGAAGTGATGGAGAATAGTTGTGCAGACAGGTGCCAAACCCACCGAGTACAGGGGAGTGACTGGCCATTGTACATTATCAGTACAGGCATTAACAAGGAAAAAGGAGGGCAGAGAAAGGGTGAAATAATAGCAACTCTGCAAGAACTATCATAAAGGAGAAGGGTGGTTGATTGAAAGTTATAGAACGGAAGAAGGTGAAAGAACATCCACTGTGCTTAGATTCCTCACCATTGGAGTTACTATTTTGGATACTGTGGCCCTGTTAAAATGCATATGTCTCTATGATTGGCCAGTACTTTCTTTCTAGAAAATAGAGTCAGATCCAGAGGATAAATATGAGGCAAAAAGATGAAAGCCTTGTAGTGTTTACGAGCTAAAGTTCCAACTCCTGTGAGAACATAAGAGGGCTTTCGCAACTTGCTTCCTCGCAAGTCTTTTCCTTCTGGTTTTGTCTTCAGCCTCTTTCCTTGTGCACATGTCTGCTTACCCACATCTAACTCTAGTTGTTCCCAACAAGCCATGTCTTGCTCGCCTCTAAGCCTTTGCCAAGTTGGAGTTTCCCTCTGTAAGGGGATGCCATCTGCTTGAGTTTAACTGCCACTCAGATCTGCGTTAAAATCCTCCCTCTTCCCCACCTAGTTAAATGATCATTGGTTGTAAAATTCAAAGGCCTGAGTACATCACAGAAGAGGCAGGTGACACCAACAGAGGAGAGGAGAGATATCAAATGCAGAGTTTAGCACAAGCAAGCTCAGCTGATGTAAAAATTTTGCCCCAGCACAGCTGTTTCGGTTCATGTTAAAGTGATGAAATTATGGACACTCACCTCTGTTGCAGGTGGTTGCAGCAGGTACACCTCATCACCTCTCAGCAAACCCCTACCAGTCATGGACACATTATGTCAATTTATGGGAAAAATGTGAGCTTCCATGTTCAATACTACTTGCAGGTTGCGGGCTTAATTTTTACTTTAAAAGATGGAGAAAAGGAGTCACCATCTATATTTAATCCTCATAATTAGAGTGATTATATGGGAACAAAATATGTGATGAAAGTTTACAGTTGAACTCTGGGAGTAACAAGAAGTATTGAAGGAAGGAAAATCTGATTTTGCCATCTATCTTATTCCCCGCCCCCATTTTTTTATCTTATTCAAGCTAAATGTCATCTTAGTTTTAATTTTATTTTTAATCCTTACCTGAGTATATGTCTATTGATTTGAGAGAGAGAGAGAGAGAGAGAGAGAGAGAGAGAGAGAGAGAGAAAGAGAGGGAGGGAGAGAGAGAGATGTGAGTGAGAAACATCCATAGGTTGCCTCCCATTTACACCCAGACCAGGGAGTGAACCCAGAAACTTTTGGTATATGGGATGATGCTCTAACCAACTGAGCCACATGGCCAAGGCCATCTTAGTTATTTTTAATACTATTTACTTTCCATATTTGTGTTTGTCTGAAGTGTTATCCTTAGGGGCAAGCATTTGGATTTGATATTACTAATTTATTTTCTCTCATCAAAATTAGAAGGATACAGCCATATCACTATTTATTCCATTTTCTACCCTGAGGAGCTTGAGTTATAAAATATAATAGTCTCTGATGAAAAGATTCATTGTCCTGTCTTTCAGTTGAGAATTTTGTTTTCTTGTTTTTTTCTATAGAAATTGAAACTCCTGAACTTATTTCAAAATACTTGAAAAAATGTCTCACACGTGTAATACATACTGTTGACCTAATAACTCATAATATGAGAAGATGAGTTAATCTTTAAATTCAGTTTAATATGTTATATATAGTTCATGAATGTTTAATTTTTAATAGAAGCCTAATATACTTGGATTAGGACCACCAGCAGTGTTCTAGTAAAACTTTATGTAATGTGTTATGGAAAATTTAACACATGAAGTTCTTTACTAAGCTTTCCTTTTACCATTCTTTGTATGTGTGTCTATGTTGTCCAGTTAATACTTCCCTAACTGTATTGGAGGATACAAAGGCTGTGCTCTTTTGCCCTCCTGTCCTGTTGACAAAAGCGGTTGTAACAACATGGGAAATAATCCTCAGAGACAAGCCTCCCTGCATCAAAGCCCACAGGAGAGATAAAAATGAGACCACAGAGGCAAACTGTACTGACGAGAGAATAACCTGGACCTACAGACCTGACCAGAGTGTTACCCTTCAGATTGATCCAGTGGTCATCGCTCATGAGGGGTTTTACATGTGTCAAGTGGTAACACCTGATGGGAATTTCCATCGTGGATATTACCTCCGAGTGTTAGGTAAGGGACATACATTGCGTTGTTTCAGACAACCAGATTTGGGAAAGAAATAAATGCCTGTTTAAGTTCCCTATCTAATGAGTTAAGACTAAATCATTTTCCCCTCCATCTCTGCAGTGGCTCCTGAGGTGACCATATTTCAAAGCCAGAATAGAACTGCAGTGTGCAAGGCAGTTGCAGGGAAGCCAGCTGCTCATATCTTCTGGACCCCAGAGGGAGATTGTGTCCCTGAGCATAAATATTGGGAAAATGGCACAGTGACTGTCCAGAGTACATGCTTCTGGGCAGAGAGCAATGTGTCTACTGTGACCTGCTTTGTTTCCCACGAGGCTTACAACTGGAGTAGGTCCATAGAACTGAATCAAGGTATGCACCTCTTTCAAGTAGCAAACTTGATTCTCAATCTTCTCTGCCATAGGAAGTTATAAATGAACTAAACACAGGTAAAGAATGCTTGAACTCCTAATTTGTAGATATTTCCTATAACTTAACTAGGACATTCATTAGTATGCTATAGAAAGTGTCTTCTTTTATTAAATAGAAGGAATTAATTTAATAATGTCTTACCAGTACATTCTCTAAATATCTCTTAGTGTGGCAGCTCCAAAACTATTGTTAACTTAGTGATCTATAGGCTTTCATTTTAAGATTATTTCTTGTAGTGGCCACCACTTTGTTGCCCTGAGTAAGAGACAAATTTTCCTTCCCCTTTTTTTGTCATCTGAAACCAGTTAATCAATATATTCACCAAATATGTGTTGAATGTTATTTATATGTTTAAAACTGGTAATACAAAAATAAAAGATAAGGTCTCTGTCCTCAAATAGTTCCAGGGAGTGTAATCTGGTAGTTAGGAACAAAGCCTTTGTAATAACATGTCATCTCATTTATCAACAGTGTGACCTTGACAATAATTTAATTTCTCTGCCCTGTGATCTCTTCCTCTTTTAAATGAAGATGATGGTACTGCTTCATAGAGTTGTTATGTTAATTAACTAAAACATATATTTAACATAGTGCCCAACACATAGTTGGTACTCAATAATTATTTGCTATTGTATTCCTCATATTAACAAATATTAGTGATTAATATTAATAGATGTTAGCCCTAATATTTATTATATTAATACACATTAGGTATTACACTTATTATTATAATTATCATTAAAAATCATCATAGTTGGAAGCAGAGCTTTGTGCTGGGACTGATTCCTTTGTAGCCATATTCTGACCAACCAAACAACAGATTGGAGATGGGAGCTAACCAAGGCTCTGTTGGAGGTTGAGATTGGGCGAAGATTAAACCCTGATTTAGGTGAGTGTTTTTTTCTAAAAATTATTTTTTATTTTTAATTTTATTTATTTATTCATTGTTTTATTTTATGTCTTTAAAATTTTAAATCATTTATTCTATTACAGTTGTCTCAGTTTTTCCCCCTTCGCCCTCCTCCACCCATCCCATCCTGCCCCCTGCTCCCACAGTCAATTCCCACTCTGTTGTCCATGTCCATGGGTCATTCATACATGTTATTTGTTTAGTCTCTTTTCCTTCTTTCCACCACTGTCCTCTTTCCCCATCCCCTCTGGTCACTTTCAGTCTGGTCCATGTTTCAGTGCCTGTGATTCATTTTGTTCGTTAGTTTATTTTGTTGAATAGATTCCACTTATAAGTGAGATCATGTGGTATTTGTCTTTCCCTGACTGGCTTATTTCACTTAGCATAATATTCTCCAGTTTCATCCATGTTGTTACAAAAGGTAGGAGTTCCATTTTTCTTTTTTTTTAAGTGAAGGTTGATTTTATTTATTTTTTAAATGTCAAAATCCATTATAAAATATTAAAAAATTTAAATACATTATAAAGTCTCAGAAATTAAAACAACATGACACCAGCACAGAAATAATCAAGTAGATCAATGAAAAAAAATGAGCATTCTAGAAACAAACGTATATATCTAACAATGTAATATATAATTAAATTGATATTTCAAATCAATGGGGAAAATAAGACTTATTCAACAAATAAAATGTACTATTACTTGAAATAAAACAAATATAGAGCCTTATTTCCCACATTATACAACAAATATTCAGGTGAGTTAAAAATCGATATGTAAAATCTAAGGAGTTTAGGAGAAAATACAAAATATTTTTCTTACCCTGAAGTAAAATATTCAAACCCAGAAGGTATAAAGTAAAATGCTGACAATATGACTATATTAAACATTTAAGACTATACAACAATAATATACATATAAAAAAAGTTAAAGGGCAAGTAATAGGATAGGAAAGTATTTGCAACACATTTAAAAAAGGGTTAATAGTTCTGTTTTGTTTTTTAGGGAAAAAATTCTATAAACATTTAATCAGAAAATGGATAAAGTATACCAAAAAGTCATTTAAAGCTTTTTAAAAATAATATAAATGGGCAAGAAATATACAAAAAATGTTTAGTTTCAACAAATAATAAAGGAACAATTAAAATAACACATCATTGTCACAATCAAATTAATAAGTATTAAAATTTTGGTAATATCAAGTATTGGTGACTGTGAAAGGAACCGGGCATTCATAGACTCTTCATCTTCTTAAAGCAGTCTCTTTAGCATATTTTGCAATGCTGGTTTGGTGTAGGTGTACTCTTTTAGCCTTCTTTTGTCAGGGAAAGTCCTTATTTCACGTTCCATTTTAATTGAGAGCCTTGCTGGGTAGAGCAGTCTTGGTTGCAGGCCTTTGTTTTTCATTATTTGGAATATTTCTTGCCACTCCCTTCTGACTTGCAGTGTTTCTGTTGAGAAGTCAGCTTCTAGCCATCCCGGGGCTCCCTTCTATGTTACTACCTCTTTCTCCCTTGCTGCCTTGATGCTCTCTGTTTGTCTTTGATATTTGCCATTTTAATGTTGATGTGTCTTGGAGTGGGCCTCGTTGGGCTCCTCTTGAATGAGACCCTCTGTGCTTCCTGGACTTGTGTGACTTTTTCTCCCCTCCATTTAGGGAAGTTTTCCATCATTACTTTTTCAAACAGGTTCTCTATCCCTTGTTCCTCTTCTTCTCCTTCTGGTATCCCTAGTATATGGATATTATTACGTTTCAGGTTGTCCTGCATTTCCCTTAACACCTCTTCATTCATTTTCAGCCTTTTTTGATTTTCTTGCTCTTTCTGGGAGCTTTTTTCTACCTTATCCTCCAGCTTGCTGCTTTGATCCTCTGCTTCATCAAGCTTGCTTTTGATACCTTCTATTGCGTTCTTCAATCCAGAAATTGTATTCTCATTTCCTCTTGTCTCTTATTGATAGTTTTTATGTCGTTTTTCATGGTGATATAGTTTGCTCTAAGTTCCTCATAGTTTCCCTATAGTTTTTGGTAATTCTCTCTGAGCTCACTGAGCTCATTGAGCTTCCTTAGAACCATTGTTTGGAACTCAATAACTGCTAGTTTACTTACTTCTATTTCATTTAGTTCTCTTTCTGGGGATTCATCCTTTCTCTTTGACTGGGGGGTGTTTCTTTGTCTTGTCATTATTTGTGAGAATCTTCTTTTTTTCTTCTGGTTCTTCAATTGATCTGTCTTGATTTCCTGACTTTGTGGTGTGAACTTCTATGGTAGGAGACCACTGTTTTTTCTTTCTGGATCTGCCTCTGATGATGTTAGATGTTGACCCTGTCAGAGGTTAGGCAGTCTGTTTGAGACTTCCAGGAATCTACTGTCTGTGGCTGTGTCCTTCAGTTGTTAATCTAGTCACTCTGCACTCAGCAGTCAGGCTTAAATATCACGGGGCTGGCAGAATCCCACCTAGAGGTGGGGTTATTGGGTCCTCTCACGCTGCTGTCACTCATGGGAGTGGTCTGCCTGAGCCTGATTGCTGCTGCTGTATTGGGGAGGAGTCAGCTTCGGGATCCTGCCGCTACTCTCTCTGTTCTCTCCGCAAAGCCTCCATCTCCAGTCTCTCCTCAAGCATCTCTAGAGCACTCTGTTTCTCCTTTAGCCAGGGATCTACTAACTGTGGCTGCCACTCTGTACTCAGCAGTCAGGCTTTAGCAACAATGGGCCTGGCCAGTGGCACTATTTTGTCTTCTCATGCTGTTACCGCTCAGGGAGTGGTCTGCCTGAGCAAGATGGCTCCTGCCATCTCGGGGCGGAGTCAGCACCAGGATTCCACCAGCTACTCTCTCCGTTCTCTCCCCAAAGCCTCCTTCCCCAGTCTCTTCTTGGGCATCTCTAGCTCAATCTGCCCCTACCTTTGCTGGAGACCAGGGTAAGTGGCTGCAAATAAAAACAAATAAAAATTTATGTGTTGGCCCTTTAAAAGTCTCTTTTCATCTCCAGCCACCTGTTTCTGGCAGACAGCATCCCTGCTGTTTTTTGCAGCTGGCTGTAATCTGTGTATTTTTTGGCTTCTGGTGTTGTAGGCAGGAGATCCCCACTTATGGTTTAGACCCCACTCTTCTCAGGGGGATCCAGTTGGCTGTTTCAATATCCTTCTGGTGCTGCTGCCCGTGCATGTCCCACCACCTTCTCAAGTCTCTATTGCACTCCTTACCAATTAGGTTGTGCTATAGCTGATTGTTCTGTCTGTCTGAAGTTATAAGGCTCCTCTTTCGCTATTGTTCAGTTGTTTGTTCTAGGTGATTTCTCCACAATTTTGTTGTAATTCCAAATTGGTCCTGGGAGGAGGTAAGTGTGACTTCCATTCACTCCTCTGCCCTCTTGATTTTCTGTCTATTCATTTATTGTTTATTAAACTTATTGATGTGGCATTGGTTTATAAGATCAGATAGGATTTAAGCATACATTTCTGATACATGATGTGTAGTTTGCATTGTGTGCTAAGCACTCAAGATTAAATCATTGTCCATCACCATATATTTGGCCCTCTCAACCCTTTATTACCACCCCCCCCAACTCATTCACCGTATTATTGTTTCTGTCTAGGTGTTTCAGTTTAATATCCCACATATGAGTGAAATCATATGGTTCCTAGCTTTTTCAGACTTATTTTGCTTAGCATAATATTCTCAAAGCCCATCTATGTTGCCACAAATGGCAGTATCTCATCTTTTCTTATGGCTGAATAGTACTCCATTGCATATACATCTTCTTTATCCAATACTCTATTGAAGGACACTTTGTCTCTGTATCTTGGCCACTGTGAATAATGCTGCAATGAACATAGGGGTGTATATATTAATATCTTTGAGAATAAATGTTTTCAAGTTTTTCTGGTAGATACCTAGGAGATGGATTGCTGGTTCATACAGTAACTCTATTCTTAGTTTTTCGAGGCACTGCCATACTGTTTTCCACAGTGGCTGTACTAGTTTATAATCCCACCAGCAATAAATGAGGATTCTTTTTTCTCTATAACCTCTCCAACATTTGTTATTATTTGTCTTGTTGATAATAGCCCTTCTAACAGATGTGAGGTGAGATCTTCTTGTAGTTTTGATTTTCTTTTCCCTAATAGCTAGTGAAGTTGACCATCTTTTTCCTGCATCTGTTGGCCTTTTGTCTTCTTGGAGGAGGTGTCTGTTCAGGTCTGCTGCTAATTTTTTTAACTGGATTGTTTGTTTGTTTGGTGTTGAGTTATATAAGTTCTTTAAACGTTTTGGATATTAACCCCTTGTCAAAGCTGTTGTTTGCAAGTATCATCTCTCATTCTGTTGGTTTTCTTTTTGTTTTGTTGGTGGTTTCTTTTGCTGAGCAGAAACTTTTTAGTTTGATATAGTCCTTTTCTTTTATTTTTGCCTTAATTTCCTTGCCTTTGGGGTCAAATTCATAAAATGTTTTCTAAAACCAATGTTCATAAGTTTAATACCTATGTTTTCTTCTATGCAGTTTATGCTATCAGTTTTTCTATTTAAGTTCTTGATCTATTTCCAATTAATTTTTGTACATGGGGACAAACTATAATATTGTTCATTCTTTTGCCTGTGGCTTTCCAATTTTCCCAGCACCATTTATTAAAGAGGTCTTCTTTTCTTCATTATGTATTTTTGGGTCCTTTGTCAAAAATTATTTGTGTGTATGCATGTGGTTTTATTTCTGGAGTCTCAGTTCTGTTCCATTGATTTGTGTGTCTGTTTTTTGTGCCAGTACCATACTGTTTTGATGATAGTAGCTCTGTAATATAATTTGAAGTCAGGTAGTGTGACACCTCCGATTTTGTTCTTTTTTTCTTGAGACTGCTTTGGCTATTCAGCGTGTTTTGTGTTTCCATACAAATCTGATAATTTTTTAATTCTATTTCTTTAAAAAATGACACATGGATTTTGATGGGGATTGAATTAAATCTTTATGTTGCTTTGAGTACTATGGATATTTTAACTATGTTAATTCTTTTAACCCATGAACACTGAATACCTTTTCATTTCATTTTGTCTTTATCAATATTCTTTAATAACGCTTTGTAGTTTTAAATACATAGGTCCTTCACACCCTTGTTAAGTTCCTTCCTAGATATTTTATTCTTTTTATTGCAATTGCAAGAGGAATTAATTTTTCTATTTCTTTTTTGAGTTTTCATTGTTAGTATATAGGAAACCAGTGGATTTTTGTGCATTGATTTTTGTATCTTGTAGCTTAACTGTATTTTTTATTACTTCTATTGATTTTTTGGTGAAGTCTTTAGGGTTTTTCTATATAGGATCATGTCATCTGTAAAAAGTGATATTTTTTACTTCATTCTCAATTTGGATGCTTTTTGAAAGAATATATTATTTATTTATTTTAGACAGAGGGGAAGGGAGGGAGAAAGAGAGGGAGAGAAATATCAATGTGTGGTTGCCTCTCATGCACACTCTACTGTGGACCTGGCCTGCAACCCAGGATGTGTCCTGACTGGAAATCGAACTGGTGACCCTTTGATTTGCATGCCAGTGCTCAATCCACTGAGCCACACCAGCCAGTGCTGGATGCCTTTTATTTCTTTCTCTTTTCTGATTGTGCTGGTTAGGACTTCCAGAGCTATGTTGAATAACAGTGGGGAGAGTGGGCATCCTTGTCTTATTCTTGATTTTAGAGAAAAAGCTTTCAGTTTTTTCACCATTGCGTATGATATGGGTTAAGAGTTTGTCATATATGGCTCTAATTATGTTAAGGTACTTTCCTTCTATACCCATTTTATTGAGTGTTTTAATTATAAATTGATCTTGTATTTTGTCAGATGCTTTTTCTGCATCAATTGATAACATCATATGATTTTTAACCTTTATTTTGTTAAAGTAGTGTTATGTTAATTGATTTGCATATGATGAACTATCTTCGTGCCCCTGGAATAAATCCCACTTGATTGTGATGTATTATTTTTTGATGTATTATTTTTTAATATATTGTTGTAATCAATTTTTTAGCATTTTGTTTAGGATTTTTGCATCTGTATTCATCAGAGATATTGGTCCATAGTTTTCTTTTTTTGTATGTGTGTTATCCTTGCCAGGTTTTGATATCAAATTATGCTGGCCTCTTAAAACGTGTTAGGAAGTGTTGCCTCTTGCTTAATTTTTTGGAAGAGTTTGAGAAGGATATCTATCAAATCTTGTTTGAATATTTGGTAGAATTCGCTAGTGAAGCCTTCTGATCCTGGACTTGTATTTTTTGGGAGGTTTTTGATGGTTATTTCAATTTTCTCACCATTGATTGGTCTATTCAGATGTTCCAGTTATTCATGATTCAGTCTAAGAAGGTTATCTATTTCTAGAAACTTATCCATTTCTTATAGATTATTGAATTTGGTGGCATATAGTCTTTCATAGTATTCTAGTATGATCCTTTGTTTATCTGTGATTAGATAGGTGTTCTTGAACACTACTGGCAACAGAGTTCTGATGGTATCTAATGACAATGAATGGTGACAATTATACAACAGATGCTTCTCAACTAGGAATTTCTTCAGACTAATATTAGAGGAAGTCATATTATATGGCCTCATGATGATACTGAGGACATCATGAATGATCATGAAGACACAAATAGTTCAAAAGAAAGTTTCAGAGAACAAACAGGAAAAATTGCGAAAGTTGCCAAAAAAATTGTTCAAGAATGGGCACATGAGTTCATCAGCTTTATAACATCTGAAGCAAATGAAAGATGTCATCAAGAGAAATGGAAGACAAACAACAGAGAAGATACTCTCTTTGTCATCTCTACCTTTGGTTTTGACGATTATATAGAACCTCTAAAATTATACTTTCAGAAATTCAGAGAGGCAATAAAAGAAGAGAAAGGAATTAGTGGAATAGTCATAACTACAGATGGACTCAGTGAAGAGCCAACAGAAGAGGTATTTACCAACTAGTTACCAGCTGGCTTAATAACTGCAGATAGTCAACAACAAAATGTTATGGTTCACATAACATCATGTCAACAGATTTCTGGTGTTCAGCAAATTTAGTTTTCATGATATGAAGAAATGATGGTGTGGAGAGTATAGAAAAGCAAGAAAGTCTGTGATTACAAAGCAGAGACATTAGAAGAAAAGACTGGAGAAAGGATGTCTCTTTGTATATTAAATAAGGATAATGTAGCTTCCTGATACTTGACTATTTGAGGTTTTAATTATGGCTAGAAAATCTTTTTCATGAATGATTTTAATGAAAAATTAGGATTTTAAAGGCATTAAAATATTTTTATTTTGAATGCATGTTTTTTGCTCTGTATGACTCTTGTATGCATTGTATATTGCAATTTACTACTGTCAGAGATTTATAGAGTTTCTTATTTTCTTACTGAATCATGTGACTTTTGTAATTAAAGGAAGCAGCTAGGTTAATTCATGATGTTTGGTCTTTAATAAAATATGAGGGTAGAGTTAAAACAAATCTGCATATCCTATTAATTATTCTCACATTTATTGTTTTTTTCAACAGCTTAATTGAGATCTAATTTATATACCATATCAATTCATCCATATTAAGTGGCTTTTGGTGTATTCACTGAGTAGTGCAACTATCACATCAATTTTATAGCATATTCATCACTCCAAAAAGGAATGTTGAATTCTCTAACTATCACTCCCTAGCCTCACTATCTCTTCCAGGTTCAGACAACCACTAATCTACTCTCAGTCTCTACTGATTTCCCTATGTCAGGCATTTTGAATTAAGTGGAATCATATATGTGGCCTTTTATGACTGGCTTCTTTTATTGATCATAATGTTTTCAAGGATCATCCATGCTGTAGCTTGTGTCAGTATTTTCACATCTATTCTTTATTTTTCACTATCAATCTCCAAGGAACTCTAGGCTCTTGTGGTATATTTCTCATACCTAGACCTATGAATTTATCTCCAGTCCCACCTGGCTTTCCCTCTGTAGGACTGATATTCAACCTGTACTATAAGTCATTTGGAATAAGTCCTTCCTTGTCTTCAGAGGTTTTGATTCACTAAATATCTTTTCTCTCTTATGTTCTGTTTTTTTATTCTGTTACACAAATTCTCTAAGGCTGTTTATATAAACATGCTTGTTTTTCTCTCAAGTTAAAAGGCAGATGCTATAACTTTCTCAAACTCTTAGCTTTTGCCATCTACTCCTATCCAAAATTTTTTAAAGAGCGGTCTATACTTGTCCTTTCTTTCATGTCATCTCACACCTGTTCTTTAATTTACTTGTATCTTCTGAACAGAAAATGGTTTGATAAAAAGCACCAAAACACATGATGCCAAATATTATATAATTTTTTATTCTTTGTAAATAATTAGCTTCTTTATGATATTTAGTATTGTCTCTCCTTCCTTTTCATCTGTCATCCTACCATTTTCAGTTGGCTATTTCTCTAATTTTAAGTCAGCTTCTTAGTCTTTCTAAATAGATTCCTTTTCATCTGCTCCCATAAAGGAAGACATTTTTATGGGTCTATCATTTGCCCTCTCCTCTTCTCACCTTTATTCCTGTTTCTTGAGCAATCTTATCTATGCCCATGGCTTCAACTATTGCCTAATTCTTGACTCTCACATGTGTGTTTTTAGCTCATATTTCCCTCTTTGGCCATACCACTATCAAAAACAACTTCAAATTGGATAACTACAGCTGGATGCATCAAGGGTACCTCAACTTGCATATTCCTGAAACAGAATTCCTTTCCTGTAGTCCTCCATAAGCTCCACACCTATATTTTATATCTTGATAAATGACTTGTCAGAAAATTAAAGATATCCTACAAATCACCCTTTATTTCCCATATTCAAAATCAACCACTAAGTTTCATTACCTTAAAGATGGTTCCTAAATCTGGGCCTTTCCCTTTCTCCCTAGTGCTTAGTTGAGAAAGTAATCATTTCTCACCCAGATTATTGCAAGGTTCTCATGACAGGATTTCTGGTTCCTGGTTTACCTCACTCCAATTTATCTCCTACATTGTTGTGCCAGCAGCCTTTCTCAAATGAAAAACATGCCACTCTCTTACTGAAATGCCCGCAGTGTTTGCCTCATGGAAAGCTCAACTCAGGGTTTCAGTGTCTACCTGCTGCTCTCCTTAGCTTCATATCTTGCTGCCATCTAACCTGTACTCCATGCATGTAGGCCTCATTGGGTTCCTCAGAATTGTTAGGCTCCTTTATTCCTCCATTTTCTTTCACATGCAATTTCTACCTCTCCATGATATACTCCTTCACTGGCACTCTCTTCTTTCATTCCATTTGCTCAATGAGTTTTTAAGACTTAGTTTGAAATAGTTCTGGTGTAACTTTCTCTCATCCTGCAGTTTTGTTAGCTGTTCTATTCTGTGCTCACCAAATGCCTCTTACATACCTCTGTGTGAGTAGTTCCATGATCCTGTAATGAGCTGCTCACTTCTCTGACTCCCAGTACAGTCTTAGCTTCTTGAGAGTGGGAACCATGTCTTTCATTTCTATATTCTCAAAGTTTGACTCAGTGTCTGACATATACAAATGAGTGCACAAATAAGTTCAAATCATCTAGACTTCATCTTTACCTTCAAATATGATTTGAATTTATCACTCTATGCTTTAAATATGATTTAAGTTAACTCCAAATCTTTGCTTAAATTCTTTCTTTTTCTTGAAAAGTACTTTCTTCTTTTAACCTGGTTAATCCTGTTGTCAGTAAGGCTCAGTTCAAATACTACTTCACTCTGACCTCTCATTTAGGGTTGACTTGGCTTTCTTATTCCTTAGATGATTTATAATTTACAATGTTCACTTAACACTGTTTGCTCTCTTGTAAGTTATCTTTTCATTTGTATGGATCTGACATTTCCAGTTGGATTGCATGCTTTTTGAGGGCTGTGATATGTCTTTATCGTCTTCCCTTACAGTGCCTAGGAGATGATCTGACTTTCTTCTAGTTTAGTATTTGAACAGGTTATTTAATGGATGACCTGACCTCTTGGAGCCAAGAATCAGACTTGTACTTAGAGTTCACACTCTCTTTGGCTATCATTTTCATAGGAGAAAAGACTTCAGAAAAGAGGTTCTAATTAGTCCCATTTTATATTTTCAACAATTCCTGGGGCTGTTTCACACTTGAATAAATGAAAGGAAGACATAAAATACCCTACTAAAAAGGTTACAGCTACTCAGTGACAAAATCATCTCACCGTGTGGAATACATTATTAGATAGTGCCCAGAACATTAAGAATAATGTTCCAAAGGACTAACTTTTACACAAGAAATAAGAAGGTACACTTCCTTTTTTTATTATAAAATTGCAAAACATTAGAAGTACTTATTGTGCACTCATTCATTCAGAAAATACTAAAAATCAACTGTGTAAAACACAGGCATGATTCCTAAACTCTGTCGTGAAGGAGTGATGCATTAGCAACATTCAAATTCTAATCTAAAAGGTGTCTTGATTGTTGCTACTTTAAAGTAGCAACTCTAATTTGTTATTAGAAGAATCCTTGAAATGACTCTAACCCTGCATGTGTTGCTTGTGTTTAAAGGTGCTGGAACCTTGAGATTTCCAGAGTCATGGTTACTGACCATATTCTATGTGAAATTCTCTCTTTTCTTGGTTATCCTGGTCATTGTGGGATTCATGTGCCTCCAGAGGATAAATCATTACAGGTAGTAACTAAAGACCAACAGATATACACTCATTAAAAAAAAAATCATTATTGTAAAACTTTGAGTTTACAGTGTCCTGGGAAAAGCTTGATACATTTATTTGGCACATTTTCTTTGTTTTCTCAGCCCGTTTTCTGATATGAAAGTTTTGTTACCAACTGAGAGCCCAGGCATAAGTTGGGCAGCACCAGAACAAGAGCTTCTGCTTTATTGTAGTTTTCCCTAGGAAAGAACTGTCCTAGAACACCCTTTGAGAATTCCATGGGGGTTGGGGGGAGTGTATAAAGTTTAGCTAGGACTTCAAGTGATTACTTCCCAGTTTTTCTGCTTTCGGAAGCTTGTATTTATTCCTGTGTAATTGTATATTTTATATTATTTTTTCGTAGAGTACGAAAATGAAAAATCTGGAAGTCAATTTAGATTTGATATCACAAAAAAAAGCAGCAAGTTGAAATCAGCCTTTGAGTTCAACATCTAGCTCAACTACTACTATGACTCTTTGATATCTTTGTGTTTATGAGAACCAATGCGATAGTTTGCAAGGCCTGTTTCCAACTGTTTATATATACAAATATATGTAAAAGCTTACTGCCTGCCATCGCAAATGGCTAGGATGACCTCTCTACTTTCCTATTTGTTATAGTTAGTTTTATCTGAAAATGAGAAACTACCCTACTTCTTATCCTAAAGAGGAAGATGACTCAGAAAAAGCCAAATAATAATGCTGTGCAGTTTTTCTGCACCCCTTGAGTTCTTTCATCCTAGCACAACGATTTTTAGCCAGTGTGTGCAAGAATTTTTAAAACATGCAATACTTGACTATTTAGTCAGGGACACTGACCTCTTTTCCCTTAGACTGTCAAATATAAAAACAAACAACACCCAACACAACAATAGCCATCTGGTTTGAATGAATCAAAATTATACCTTGGCAAATTGGCAAAAATGTATAATATAATTTTTGGTGTGCCATAGAATTTTAGTAATTAGTTTATGTGTGCCATGAGATGAAAATGGTTGAAAATCACCCTAATTTCTTGTCTCTTTTGCCTGTTTGAGATGCTTATCAATGTCACAATGGCAAGAGCCACTACAAACACTGCCTTCAAGTCAGCCTGTATGTAGCTGACTTCCCATCCCTCCACGCCCACTTTATCCATTTTTTTCCCCTGGCAATTAGTGGAGCAGTTGTATTGCATGTTTAGACTGATCATTAAATAAATGACCAGAAGTTATTCCTAGCAATGTATGCATTTTTGAAAAAAGTGTAAGTTGATCCCAAATAAGGAGCTATTAAAGTCATTGGAGACAGAGCTGACTATCATCTTACCATTTAGAACTCCAGTGTCTCAAGTCTCTCTCTCAATTTTCTTTTACCTGCACTCCAGGTTGGAATGGATTAATGGTGGTAAGAGTAATAGTGCTTCATGAAACCCTTACATCTTCCAGGGCCTCTGTAAACTGAAACCCTACCTTTCCTGATACATATGCTAATCCTATAGTAAATAGTGTTCTTTTATTTAAAGGAAAAATTTCTTATGTACATTGGCAGGTGATTTGGAACATTACTTATATTTTTAGCAAGATTTAAGGGAGGAAATGAACGTATACTATTTGGATGATGCTATATAAGTAGGACAGTGTATTTATTGAAACAAACAACTGTGTAATCTCAGTTTATACCACAAATGTTAATTCTTGTTCATTTCCTATTCCAGTGCAGGTTGCTGAGGCTAGTGCAGGGTAGAGGAGTGGTTCTCTAAGCTAACATTTTATCCTATGGCTTTGTCTTTCTCAGAGTATCTCCCATTCAACTGATGAATGAAGGAGAGAGGGAGGGTGGGGTTAGGGTTGGGGGGAGAGAGAAAGAGAGTGAGAGAGAAAGAAGGAAGAGAAATTGTATGTGGCAGATTTTTATGAACTAGGCCTGAAGTAGTAATCACTTCTGCCCTCATTGCATTGCTGGTACTTGTCATATGGTCACACTAACTTCTGTAGAAGTTGGAAGATATAGTATAGCTGTCTTGGAGAAAATAGTCAAGTTTTGGATATGTTTAGTCAGTTTCTGCCTATAGTAAAGAATAGGCAAATGCTAAGATTAATACCTACTCCATTAGTAATTGAACACAAGTTATGAAATAAATTAGTAAATAAAGTTATATGTAATTTACATTAGCTCTTTTCTCTCTTTCACTATTATTATAATTTTCCCATGTTTAAAACAGGGCATAGAATGGAAAAAAGGCTAGTAATACAATTCTATAATGGACACAAATATGCTATAGCTCAGATTGGGAGTTGCCTGGCTCAGTGTTCTTCCCCTTTGTCCTTGTGGTGGATGATTGCACTCAGGACTCCAAATCTTCACTGTTCCCTCTACCCATGTAATTTGTCAGTGCCTTGAGTTCTTTCCATAAGAAGAGTGCATATTTCTCCACCAACCACAGTGCACTTTGGTCAATCAGATAAGGTACAAATGGTTGCGTACCAGTTTTGATCTGAATGTTTCTACATGCTACTCCATGAGAACATGCCTGGGCTAGTCTTCTGGAGGATGAGAAACACGTAGAGAAGAACTAAGTACCTCTGGTCCCTTCTCGCCCATCTCTCTGTTGAGACCAGCCAGGACAACCCGATAGTCAGCCATCTCCTGGGCATGTGAGAAAGCTCGGTGTGGTTAGAAGAGCTTCCTACCTGACATTTGAGCATTGTGGACTCTGACTCTCACTGGGCTCCTAGACATTTGAGCAATTGCTGCCACAGAGATTTTATGGTTATTTGTTAGACAACATTGTTGTGACATTGTGTCTCTGATACATAGCTTATAACATAACTGCAATTTTATTTGGTGGGGGGACATACTTAGCTAAAAGACATTTCTCAGTGGCCCTTGCAGCTGAGTATGACCACCCAAAAAAGTTTTCACAAATGAGATGTAAACAAATCTTGTTTAATATTTTTTAAGAAAACTCTTTAAAGGGAAAAAGAGGTCCTCTTTTGCTTTTCCTCTGTAACTCCTGGCCTTCAACATTGGTGTGATGACTGGAGGTCCAGCGCCAACTTGGGCCAAGGGGGCATTGAGATGGAAGCCACTCATTAACATTGTGGAAAAGGAAGCTGGAAGAATCCTGGGCCCTGGTGAGCATGGAATTGACCATACAAACCTTCAATCACCTACATATAAACTTCTTTTGTGTGAAAGCAAATAAAAAATTTTGTTCATGCCACTGTTACTCTAGGGTTTACTCCACACACAGCTGAACTTAATCCTGACTGATACAAATAGTTAGTTTGCCAATTTCAAGGTTTGCTGTCCACATTGCAACAGCAGTATGCTTTACTCGTGTGCATTTTCATCCTTCCTTTAGAGATAATGAAACATATAACTTCAGAAGATAGTAATCATAAGAGCCATCTCATGACAGTTCAGGAAAAATTGCTTGCTTTTTAAAGTCAGGTGATGTGGACTTGTGGTAGGAAAGGGCTTGAAACTCTGGTGGGCATGTGTGCAAATTTCATCTAATAATCAGCCAATCCCTAGACATTGAGGACATGTCTGCATTGTAGGATTGGGAAGATAAAAATACTTTTGTGGGCTCATAGAGAGGATGTGAGCATGCGAATAGGAGAAAAAGAGGAACTGAAATCTCTGAGGCTTTATTGTGTTAATCTTTTTTCCAGTGAAAAGACTTTATCACTCCTGAAAAAAATTTATCTGAGTTCATGCTTCTCTGTTGAATTTTCAGTGTCATGATTTTTCTGGGTGATGTTAGATTGGAAGAGTGAAAAGCTACAGCTACTCCCCTTCAAATTCTTACCCCTGCATAACGATAAAAAATGTCTTTTCTTTTCTGAATATATATATATATATATATATATATATATATATATATATACACACACACACAATAAATTAATTGTTCTAAATTGAGGAAAATGAGGCACATATTTGAACATTTGAACAAAACACAATTAAGAGCCACTAGGGGGTGCTTCAACTTAATTCTTTTAACATTTTGAAGCAAGCTAAAATCTATTAACTGTAACTCTATCAAACAGTAATTCTGCACTTTCTTCTTTAATTTTTTCATACAACTGCCCCTCCATTTACTAATTTTTAAGGTCCTCTTGGTTAGTTTTGAAACAATAGCAGAAAAAAGAAAAAATCCTTTAAATTAAAATTGGGGAGAAAAATACTTCTTTTCATTTCCCAAACTTACTGCTAGTCCTGTCACTTAATTTTAATAGAAATGTTTTGTTTTTCAAATGAAATGATGTAGATATTAATAGTCTCATTGTAGGGTAATGAAAAATGTGAGGATCTGTTACTGGTTAAACTAAGGTTAGTACTCCTGTAATTCTTAAATTGAAGAGTTAAGATAACTGGGTCACTAAAAGGCAAATAGCTGCTTGTTAGTATTAACGGCAGCAGATTGTTGGAGCTAGTCTTCTCTACCTCCTCGACTCAACCCCATATCTTTTCCTGCATCATCTTTTAGGGGCATACATGACATTGTAAAGCTGGAAGGAAACTATGGATAAACTAGGCCAACTTCCTCGTTTTACAAAAGAGGAAACTGGGACTCAGAGTTCTAAGTGACCATCATGCATTACTAAGAAACAGCTGGAGTGTGAACTTGCTTTGCTTGCTGACAAGAGTACTTACAAAGTGAACTTTACAATTCATTTTTTTGGAGTGAGACTTGGGGTCCAATAGGGAATTTATGGGAGCCTTCATAAGAATCACAAGGTAAAGTAAAACAACACATAAAATGTTCATTAGATTAATTATTACTTCAAGGAAGGATTGTTCATTTATTGTTAAAATTTTTTAGTGTTACCACATACTAAAAACATCATATGCCCAACTTTGACATGTGACATCACATCTAAACTCTGAGAATACAAATGCAATAGAGATATTTTTAAACATTGCTTGTTTAAGTTTTACTTCAGTCCTTTCTACAACCTGGAAGTGAGAGAAAATGCAGAAAACAAAAATTT